TATGTGGAGTATAAGAACAAAGGAAAAACTGAAGGAACAAAACAGCAGCAGAATCACAGAACCCAAGAATGGACTAACAGTTACCAAATGGAAAGGGACTGGGGAGAATGGGTGGGAAGGGAGGGATAAGTGGAAAAAAGGAGCATTACGATTAGGACCCATAATGTAGGGGGGGGACACAGGGAAGGCAGTATATACAAAGAAGACAAGTAATGATTCTATAGCATCTTACTATACTGATAAACAGTGACTGTAATGGGGTATGTGGGGGGGACTTGATAATAGAGGGAGTCTAATAACCATAATGTTGTTCAAGTAATTGTACATTAACCATACCAAAGTTAAAAAATAAAAAATATTGTCTAATGAAGGGCAAATGTCCATGAGGTAATATTACATGGAACAGCAAACAACAGAACCACACAGTATATACACATACATTTTTTGCTTACAGAAAAATATTGGAAGGAAGAAAACCAAAATGTTTTGTGTGGTCATCTCTTGACAGTATGGCTACGGGTAGCATCATCTTGTCATTGACACAAACTTTGATGGAAAAACCTGCTAGCCACCACAAGGCTGCCTCTTCCTCCTCCCCCATCCCTGTGTCCCTCTGAGGCAAGGCACTTCTTTCTAAGTGGGGAGTGTGTTACAACAGGGTGGACCCTGGGGTGATGGCCTCGGCTCTGTCTGGGGTGGCAGGCAAGGGTCAAGCACATATGATTCTCGGCCCCATTATCCTGATTTCCCTTATAAGCTCCCCCCACCCCCACCCCATGGAGCATTTCCTTACATCCCCAGGAGAGGTTTCTAAGTGGTAAGGGGAACACAAAGGCCCAGCCTCACCAAGTTCTCACCAGGCCCAGCACTGTCCAGTGGAACTTCCTTCCATGGTGGAAACATTCCATATCTGTGTTGTCCAATAAGATAGCCACTAGCTCATGTGACTTGAAATATAGCTGGTGTGTCTAAGGAACTGAGTGTCTAATTTGATTTACTTAATCAAACAGTCACATATCGTGGCTTCTACACTGGGAAGTGCAACCTTGACCAATTCCCAACCAAGCCATCTCCTGCCAACCTGGACTGGAAGGTTGTGCAGGTGCTGAGGCCTGGCAGGCTCGGGAGGTGGGAGGGGCCCAGGCTGAGGCAGCCCCACCCGCCCCACCATCACAATGGCAGCCGTCACAATACCGCAGGCGAGAGGTGAGCCCAGCCTGGAAGCTGGAGGGCATTTCCTCCTGGGGTGGGTCTCTTTGTCTGCAGATCTACTTCCAGACTCCCAGGCAGTGAGGACCGTGTCCTAGGGAATGGAAAAACACCCAGCTGCTGAAGGGCAAGCTGGAGACCCACCGGAGGAAGTGGAGTCGGTGTGGAGATGGGGCAAGACAGGGCTTTGCCCTAGGCCCCCAGGGCTGCAGGGCCCAGCAGCCCAACTGCCAGGAGGCGGAATAAGGTGTGAGCACTGGGCAGCTGCTCTTCTACCTGGCGGTGTGGTTCTTCTACTTCTTTCTTCTACCTTAAGGACTGCTGAGAGGCCCTCCCTTCCGCCCAGGGATGGAGGCTGAGTTCAGGGTGATGGTGGCTCCTGCAAGTGACAGCAGAGAGTGGCTGTGGCAGGGGCCTTGGCCCCACAGGGAGGACAGCCAGGACACGGGCCAGGTTCACTCTGCACCCCAAGGATGGAGATTTGGAGGCGAGTGCAGGGGCCCTGCCTCAAGCCTCAGAGCCATGGCCCAGCCTCCTGCTGTTGGGAGGGCCCAGGGCTGCACGGCCCCAACAGGCTTTGCCTTGAGTGACTGTTAGAGGAGAGGAGCCAAAACACGTGCTCCACAGAGCCTGCAGGTGGGTGAGTGGGCAGTGGGTCAGGACAATGTTTTGCAGTCCTGAGTCCTCTCAGAGTCAGTGGAGTCCAGCTCTGCAGGTTTACTGGTTAGCTGCTTTGTGTCTGGACCAGGCTCTGGTGAGAAATAAACTGCTCTCTGAGCTAACTTGGCAGCAAGAGAAAATGTTATTCCCATTTTCTAGGGAAGAGAAACTGAGCCTGTGGTGCCTAGTATATGTCTGGCAAGGATGGTAAAAAGCCCACTTCCTTTTGGGGGATTATTTATTTAGCCTTTCTTGGGCGGTGATTGGGGGGCCTCCTTAGGATAAAAATAGGTGCTGCTCCAAGGATGGGGGTGTGGTTCCACTGGGCCATGGGACAGGAACTGTCCACCCCAATGGCTCCAGTGCCTTGTTTCCCACCAGAGCTACATGGGCAGCAGGATCCCGTTTGAAATGCAGACCAGGGCCTACCCGCAGGAAGGCAGGCAGCTCTGCCCTCAGGCAGGTAAGCTGTATGCTGACCCCATCCTAGTGGCTTCCTCAGATTCTCAGGGGTGGGGCAGGCAGGATGTCCCCCAGAGAGAAGGACTCCTGGGAGTGAACCTCTTGTGTGGATTAGGCTGTTGCCCTGAGACCCGGACAGGCTGAGGGACAGACCCCCAACCAGCAGTGCTTCTGCTACACAAGCACACGAGGAGGGTAAGGCAAGAATCTGGAACAACCTGACTAAAGTCAAAGCGCACACAGCCAAGAGGAAAGCCCACCACGGCAGACCCTGAAATCTCACGGAGGCTCTGTCAAGGGGAAGTGCCACCAGGAAGCATGGGGAAGGATGTGATTGCCTCTCTGCATAGGTGACTATCTCTGGGGATGAACAAATCTCCTAGGAACTCTCTTATTGTCTAGCCCCATCCCCAGATCTCTGAGATCTTGGGTCTGGTCTGGAGTCCAGGCATCTCAGTCTAAGGTCTGTAGTTCTCTGCTCCTAAGCAGAGCATGGCAGCCTGAGGGGACAGGGCCTCCTTCCCTGCAGGGAGCAGCAGGCCTGAGGGAGGGGAGGGAGAGCAAGTGGCTCAGATTCCTGGGCAGCTTGAGGGACTCACAAGGCCCATCCATGGTGCCTACCATGGAACCTCAAGGGTGAAACATGAAGCACCGCTGAGCTGCTCCTCAGACATGCTCAGCAGGGCACAGTCTCATGTACTTTCTCACAGACATCCCTCTAGGGACTAGAATCTACTCCATGCAGTAAAAAGTTGTAGGAATACATATTCTCCCCTCTGAGACTCCACAAAACCAAATTTTGAGTGGGGAAAAAAAAATGCAGCCTATAAACAAGTAGTTTTGCTGAAATGGGCTGCCTGTAGCAGAGGAACCTTGTCCCTCAGGGGGCAGCACAGGCAGCACGCAGGGTCCCTCCCACCCACCACATGCCCCCTGCAAATCCTTCCATCTCAGCCACCTCTGAAAATGAGACTTCTAGTCCCTTCAAACCACTGACCCGAACTGCAGCCAGCAGTGACAGAGCTGCCTTTTGACAGTCCACTTTGTGGGGTGCCGGCTGGGGGCAGGAGTATGATGACAGACAGGCACTCCACCAGGAAGCAGCTCACAGCAGACTCAACCTTCACTTTATTAAGGCTTGAGAGACCTGCCAGAATGGGGCTGAGTCAGTCACTGTGGAGACCCCCCACCATGGTCCATTTTTGGGTGGCCCTGAAGGCAGAGGCTCTCTTTGAGATCCAGAGCCAGTCTATCACATGCCACTCGCAGCCAGCCTGCAGGAGGGGGGCAGTGTGCAGACCACTTGGGGGCTCTCAGGAGGGTAGGGCTGGCTCTGCCAGGGGGGGCAGGGCGGCCAGGAGGGCAGGGCTATCTCCCCCATTCCTCCCAGCCCAAACTATGGCTTTGTTATCCTATTGCCCCTTGAACAGGAGTAGGGTGCCCCTCCCCACCCCTCACTCCTGCGCTACAGCCTACCCTGTGCTACGCTGTGGGAGGAGGCAAGGGGAAAGCCCCTGGGCAGGAAGAGGCCCCGATGTGCCTGGGAGCTGGCCCAGCCTCTGGAAGCTATGACCTCCTTCGTGCTGCCCCTTGGCTCCTCCCAGCGATGGGTCTTCTTGGGTTGAGGCTGGTCACTCAGAAGTGGACCCGCAGCACATCCTGGCTGGCAACTGGCTGCTGGCAGGCTGTGCACATCATGGGTGGGGAGCGCTGCTGCTCACCCAGGCAGGGCCGGCACAGGAGGTGGCCACAGGGAAGCTGGTACACAGGCTCCTTTTTGAAGTAGGGAGAAAACACTCTTTTGCAGGAGGCGCACTCGGGGCCCAGGATGCTCCCAGGCTGCTCTGGTAAATCAGGGAGAAAAATAGGCCAGGGTTAGGGAAAGCCACCCCTGGCTCAAGCTCCATCCTGGAGGTTCTAATGTGCCTGGATTGGGATGAAAGCTTACACATCTTACACCCTTGAAGCTGCCTGGCTTCATCCCTCCCCAGGCTGCCCAGGTGGGTGATCTGGGCGGAGGGAGCAGGGGAGCCTGGGAACCTGGGAGTCCCCTCAATCATCAACTCTTGGTGCTCCTGTGAAAGCTCAGGAGAAGCTGGCTTCTGAGGGCAGCTGGGCCCCATTGGAACCTTCCTGCCGGACTCCCATCAAGATTTGCTTTTCCTTGGGACAGGCTGCCCAAAGCTCACCCTGCCAACATAAACTACAAGAAATGTGACATGCCATAAGGAGGGGAGAGAGCACCAAATGGTCTGGTGCACCGGGGTTGTGTAAGTCCAGGGGGTGGGACGTCACCAGACAGGCAGGGCTGAGGCCTGCCTGCTGGACTTGGAGCCTGCTTCTCTGCAGCCCTGAAGCTGGGCTGCTCTCCTCCTGTGCTGCAGGCTCTCTCTCCTTCCTTGTTGCATCCTGAAGGGCCTTCCTGAATGAGGGCCACAGTGGGCAGGTCCTCCACCCCTCCCCAGGCCATACTCCCTACTCTTCCTTGTCTTGTGGCCCTGGCCTAAGGAGGTGGCTCTTTCTCTCCAAATCCACGGCAGAAGGCAAGGATGGCCTCTGGGTGGACGAGCCATAATGATGAAAAGGGGCCAGCCATGTAGGATGAGGGACAGCAAGTACCAATGGCAGGCCTGCTAAAGAAAGAGAAGACACAGAGGTGAGATGTGAGTGTGGCTTCAGATGAAACTGCAGCAGAGGGCAGAGGGCTGAGCAGGCAGCAGGTGCCTGGACCTTGTTCCAAGTTCAATGGGGCACCCTGGAAGGACGCTAAGAAGTGAAGGGCCATGATCCGGCTTCCATTATAAAAAGATCCCTCTGGCTCCTGTAAGGATGACGGGCTACAACGGCAAGGCAAGGATGGCTGTGGGGAGCAGAGGCACAGGAGCTGGGGCCAGGGCGGCAGCAAGGGCAAGGGAGCAGGGGCCACTCTGAGATCGACTCTGGAGGAGGAGGAGAGGACCTGATGAGGGACAGAATGCCAGGAATGCTGATGGAAACTAAGGGTGATCTCCATGTTCTAGGCCTGTCCAAAGGGTGGAAGGTGCTGCTTTTTGCCCATGATGGGATGATGCAAGGGTTGGGGGACCTCTGGAGGGCATCTGTGGTTCTGAGTTAGAATTATGCTCAAAATATCCATAAGCTTCCCACGCGGAGGTGCCAGGGAGATGTCAGGGAGGCGAGGGTCTAAATTCCAAGGAGAGACAAGAGCTAAATAAAGGTGAACATGAGAAGTCACAGGCCGAGTGGGCTCTCATGTGGGCAGCAGAGCACCAGGAAGGGGGTCCAAGGACCTGAAGCTGGGAGAGAAGGAAGAGCCGGCAACGGAAACTGAAGAGCGACAGTTGATCACGGAGAAAAGTGCAGTGTCTGGAAGGCCAAGAGAGGTGTTTCAGGAAGACTGATTGGCCACATCAGCACTGCTGGAAGGGTAAGTGACTGTCACATTTGGGGTCATGGGAATGGCTGGTCACCTGGACACAACAGGTTCTTGGGGATAGTCAGGATGGACACATGACCAGGGAGGCAGTGAGGTGAGGAAGAACAGCAGAGGAGGTAAGACGGCCTGGCTCTGGACAGGCAGGAGGAGCCGAGTGCTGGCCTTATTAGTCCCACCGCGCTTCATCTTGTAAGAAATGCCTTGGCACTCCAGGCAGGTTCTTCACTCTGAATCCCAAGTGGTTCTGTCGTCTACTGTGGTCCCAGGTTCATTCGAGGCAAACTGGCTCTAAGCTACGAGGGTTCTTGTCTAGGACACTAGGGAAAACTTCACTAGGAGGGGATGCAGATGACACACTCAGCTCCAAACCTCCCTCCACATTTACATGAAGTGCCCCAGGTGTCATGGGTGACAGACTAGATGAGAAAAATTAACAAAAAAGGAGAAACAAAATTCCTCAGGACAGAACAATTAATGTTAGATCTCACCAAAAACCACAGAAGAGGGCAGCCAAGCCCTAAGTCCAAGAACCACTAAGAGCTGACTAAAGAGAGCCTTCCTTGTGAAGAGCTAAACTTCACTGGCAGCCCTTCAACTTCCTCTGGCAAAGGCAGGCCAGGTTCTCCCCACAGGCCTGGGTGCTGGAGCTATGGAGGCTAGGCATGGAGGTCCGCAGAGCCCCAGACAAAGGGCCCCAAGCTGTACAAGGGCACCAAGGAGACAGACGGGCCCTTGTTACCCGGGCCCTCGTTACCCGAGCAGCCCGCGCCTGGCCTCCAGGAAGTGCTGCTCCCCCTTGAGCCGAGGTGCTGGAGCTGTCCCCTGGTCAGCCGGGCTGTGAAGGAGGGCATGGAGCCAAGGGTTGATGTCAAGGCAATTTCCAAGCTTTGTGACAGCTTTTGCTCATGGGACACTGGACCTGTTGAGAGATGCACAAACTGTAATATCCAGAGAAAGGTTCAGCAGAAGAGAAGATCAAGCCACAAGTCCTCTGAGGACGAAAATAACAGCACTTCCAACTTCAAATAGACACTAATGTAAAGAAACTCCTCCCTAATGTCTACTAGCAGATCTTGAGGACAGAACACTGGGCATTAGCGCCCTGGGATCCTGGAAGTCCCACCATCCCACGCTACTCTCAGGATTCCTGGGCTCTGCTCTAGCTTGCCTCCTCCTGGACAAATGGCTGGACAGCCTGAGACACCTCGTGGCTCAGCTGCAGAACTGCACCCTGCGTTCTGAAGGTGTGCTGCCACAGAATGACTGGGCAAGCCAACGCGGGGCTTTGTATCCTTGTTCCCTGCCCTATTCCCTCCCCAGCAGCCTCGGTCTATTCTTTCCTTCTCTTCTCTCTTCTGGGTCCCCACAACTCTGCAGGGCCAAGCCTGATCTCTCTAGGCATTGTGTCCTCTCTCTCCTGTTAGGTAAATCAAAGCAGTTATTATCACGTGGAATAACAAAGACCACCCTCTACCCACTCCACCGTCTAGAGGACCTTCTCTGTCAGTCTAGAGGGCCTTCTCTGTGTGGCCCACAGAAAGCCAAGCAGTGTGCTGAGGGTAAAGGCAATGGGGAAAGGAGATAGCTGCCTGAGAAAGGACACAGAGACCTCCCTGATAGCAGGAGTCCCAAAACTGCTCCAGAATAGGAAGTGAAATGGCTTGTCTACAGTTTGTAGGACACAGGACATCAGCTTAGGCCCCTGGAGGAGCACCAACAAATCTGTCAAGGCCAGTACTACAGGAGACCTCCACAGACACCAGGGTTTAAGTACCTTTCTCCTTACCTCTCCCCGCTGCAACTCAGACGCTTCCAGGAGTTCCTGGGGGTCATGTTCACTAAAATATACACTCAAAAGCAGAGAAGACATAAATGTAATTTTTAAGCACACTATCGGCTTTTTGGAATAAGAGAGGAAGTTAAAAGAATCATCAAATCTAAATAACAGGCTTTCATAAGGAAGAAGTGTCGAAGGGCTCTCTCTAAAGGCACCAGACACTGACAATCATGGGGAACTTGACCAAACATGTAAAGAGCAACTGATTCTATTATTCAAATATTCCAGAGTGTAAAAAAGGAAAATTTCCTAATTATTCTTATGAAACAGATAAATCATCGATACCAAAACCTGAGCAAAGATGGCACGCACGTGCACATGCACACTCCAGTCCAATCTCACTAATGAATGCAAAAACCCCAAATAAGATACCAGCAAACAGAACCAAGCTGCACGGTGGAAGAAGCCTGGCCAAATGGAGTCTCTTCCAGGAACGTAATGACAGTTCAGTATTAAGACACCTGTTAATGTACTTTCTCACATTAAAAGATCTAAGAATGAAAAATCATAACATCATTTCCACTGAACCTGAAAGGCATTAGACAGAAATTCAACCACCAATCTTAGATAAAAATACTGAATAAAATAGGAATCAGTGGTTTGGGAGAGTTTGAAATGGTTCCTGATGAACCCTGCCTCCGGATACTCATGCCCTGGGATTACTGCCTACCCTTGAGTGTGGGTTGAACTTTGGGACCTGCTTCTAACAGAATACACAGAAGTGATGGGAAGTCATTTCCACGACTGGGTTATGTAAGACTGTGACTTCCATCTTGTTTGCACACTCTGGTGTACACAGATACCATATGCTGGCCTCGAGAGGCCCACGTGGCAAGGAATTGAGGGCAGCAGCCTCTGGCCACCAGCCAACAAGGAAGTGAGGCCCTCAGTGCAACGATTCGACGAGAAGCTGAATCCTGCAACAACCACATGAGTGAGCTTGGAGGTTAAGCCTCCCCAAGTCAAGCCTTGAAATGGCTGCAGCACCTGCCATGATAGTAAACATGGAAGATCCTGAAGCAGACAACCCTGCCAAGCTGTGCCTGGATCTCCGAGCAGAGAAGCTATGAGTTAATGACCACATCATGCTTTAAGCCAGTAAGTTCTGGAGTAATTTAAGCTGGCAAAGCATAAAGCAAGGAGCAATAGTGCCAAGTGTCCCCTCGGAGGAGGAGGGATGACCACGGGCACGGACAGAGGACGATGGGTTACCTGTTGAGCAGTCCATGTGTGTCAGACTGAGCTCACTGGCAGCTCTCATTTTCTTAGCCATGTGTTCTGAGGTAGTGGGTGAGACCAGAAGGCTTGTGGTAGAGGAACAGGAAGCATTTATACCAAGGCTACTGTCTGGTGCACGTTCAGCCTGCTCCATCTTTCTTTTCCGAGAGGGCAGAGCAATGGAGGAAGGAGTCACTGCCAATGCAGTCTGTGCTCTCCCAAGCAGGTGGCAGCCAGGGATGGAGCGCTGGAGCAAGAAATGGTCGATCCGGGCCTTCAGAGACGGGTGAGGCAGGGGCTGGGAATGTGGGGTAAAGGCTACCCCTGTGAAAGGGTCGCTGGGCACTCGGCCCCACGTGGCTTCACTGCGGTTACACTTCTCCAGCGTGCTCTGGTCAATGACCTTGCCTGAGGGCAGCAGCATGGGGCAAGGCATAATCTCCAGGGTAATGGGATCCAGGAACTCCTCAGGCACATCCCGAATTACCTCAGCCAGCTCCTGCAGGCTGGCGGGGGCCTGCTGGCCCTCAGACTGGCCCCTGGGGTCACAGTCACTCTCCATGGGCAAGCCTGGGGCCTGCAGAGCCAAGTCCTGAGGGAGGCTCTCTGAGGCAACCAGCAGGACACTGTCTATCACCTCCTGAGAGCAGGTTTTAGCTGGTTGACCCCACACTTCCAATCGCTTGATGCAAGGAATACCACTGCCTGTCACGTGGGTGATACAGATCTTGAGATGGGCCACGTGGTTAAGGGAGAGAGCCCCTTTATTCCAGAGCTCTTGGGCCACAACAGCAGGGGAAGGGAGTGTGGCTTCCATTGGGCCAAAAGGTGGTCTAGCCTTGAAGCCCCTGTGGCTAAACACAACTTGGCTCTGGTTTTTCAGCAAGACTCTGCCCACCAAAGTGAACGCCTCCCTATCCAGCATGGATGGCTCAGCTGGGCTTGGGGTCCAGCACTCAGAGGTACTCCAAGATGTTCTGCTGGACGAGGCGGATGTGTACATTTCCAGACCAGTGACATTCTGGCCTCCCCCACCTGTGAGGTCTATGTTAATCCTACAGATTTCCACATTGAAGGGAAAGGAAACTGTCACATAGACTGGTGGCTTAATGAAATACTCTGTCCTAAAACCATGACTTCTCTTTGTGAGGTCTTCAGAGATGAGATTTTCCACTTCATAACCATCAGCTGATATCTAGATTTAATGACAAATATGAGACACATTCATTTGATTAGATCCAAATGAAGTTAACTAGTTTTCAAGAACTTGCCACTTCTAAGAAAACTCTAAAGAAAGTCTGAAGTTCCTCATTTAAAATTTCCTGTATTATACTGAATTCTCCTGGTTTTTTTTGTAGGCACTCAAGGTCCGGTCAAAGGCTGAGGGCAATTGTGTCCCCAAGTACTGCCCATCATTAAAAAATGTGAACAACAAAACTTGGCCCAACTCAACCAAAATCCCTTCAAAATAACATCTCTGTGAAAAGGGGGCAGATATACTAGTGTGTTTTTTTTTTTTATCAGAACATGAAAACATGCAGATTTAGAGAGAAATAAAGATGCTCATTCAAATTCTCAATTTTGTATTTGGACTCTACCAATTATAGTAGTTTCCTTAGCACGACATGCCAATCTTCTTGTAAATCTATGAATGATGAAACTCGGCAAAAAAAATGTGCACACAGGAACAAGGACCACAAAAGACTACAGGAAATTTAGAACAATGCATATGCTGGGGAGTAAGATCATAGTAACTGTTCCTCCTCTTAATACTTCTAAGTTGTTATAACCAATGGAGATTTTAAGAGAGCCATCTCCCAATTTCCAAAAGTTTGAGTTATGCCACTTCACTTTACAAAAGACCCACACTATTATGGTAGTGTCTTCGCTTGTAAAAGTGAAAATCCTCTTCAGATTTCTTTCAGGTAGTGAAGACAGGTACCAATACAGCTCTTCACTTTACGCCACTTTGGCTTGTGAAATGCTTTGTTGGGATGCTCTACTTTCCATTGGGGGAGGTGGAACCTGTATTTGTGTCCAAAGGAATCAGTGTAACAATATGTGAAGCTGAAATAGTGCCCTGTGTGTAGAAACTCCCAATTAGGAGAGGAGTTCAATTTCACCCTTGGAATTTCCTTACTCTGTCCTCTGGGCTGCGTAGGGGTACCCCTGCTTTGCACAGAAGGGGGAGCTGCTTAATTCAAATCACAAAGAACAAGGGTCCCAAATACATATAAGCTATTACCTCTGTCATGAGAAGTTACCAAGAACAACAGTGGGGGAGAGTATTTCTACCTTCATTATGACTTCAAGTGGAATTGAACTTTGTTATCACAGGGAGAGCACAGTAAATATGCCCTTCCACAAAAGGAGTCATGACTCACTTTGTAACGGTCTGGATGACTCTAAAGCTGCAGCCTCACTCATGCTTACCTAAATATCACCTGGTGGGATCTAAATAGTGAGGGTGGAAAGCACAATAAGCCTGAATTAAGTCCACATACACACGGCAGGAAATGGGGAAAAAACATGAAAAATGGTTATCATATATTTATTTATGTGCATATACTCCTTTTGATTACCTTGTTGCAGTAAATTCTTGGTCTGAACTGTGGGAGACAAAGATTTATTACCATCTTTGTGGCTGAAAGGATAATTTCCAAGCATCAGAAATAACCTTAAATAAAAAATAAAACTTGGTATTAGACAAGTTAAAATTCAATTCTAAACTTTTAGGAGTTGATTACTAAGAGAAGAGAATCAAACAGGGTAACAAAAACTTCCACACACATTCTCATGGTCTGCACTCACTGTCTTTGTATCCTAGTGGGATGCTGGAAAAAAATGAGTCACTGAAAAGTCACAGAGGAGATTCCTCCTGCAGACTGAGCAGGTGGGCGAGGATTGCTGGTTCTCTGGCTGACAGCTGGAGCAAGAGCCTATCAGCTCTGCAAGGGCCTCCCCACAGGCAAAGAGGGTCAAGGTGCCTGAGCTCAGAGAAAGAATAAGACTACTTAGCCAGAAGGTTTAGAATGGAAAAGGTCACAGAAAACAATCACAGGGGTGCCAGACATATTTTTTGTTTAACAATTATCAATGCAATTACATGTTCTTATTAAAATGAAAACAATGAATAGAATCAAAAACATCATTATTGAGGAATAGAAAATCTTAGAGTTGAAAAGCACCTTCAAAGGACATCTAATCCAAATAGTCATTTTAATAGCCAATACCCAAGATAGAAGAAATGGGTAAGGTGGTCAAAGGGTACAAACTTCCAGTTAAAGATATATAAGCTCTGGGGATATAATGTACATCAGGGTGACAATAGTTACAAACACTGAAATATTTGATAGCTGCTAAAAGAGTAGATTTTACAAGTTCTCATTACAATAAAAAAATATGTAACAATGTAAGGCAGTGGGTGTTAAATTAAAACTTATAATCATTTTGCCATTACACAAATATCAAATCATTATGTTGTACACCTTAAACTTATACAATGCTGTATGTATCAATTATAGCTCAATAAACCTGGAAGAAAAAAAACAAAACCAATGTACAACAGACTTTGGTACTCTCTAGAGAAGTACAGAAGAAATATCCCTCCCAGTGGCTGGCCTCTCCAATGGAGCTGAACTCCTGTTCGAGGCCAACCAGCCATTCTCTGCTTTTCCATCTGGCAGACAAGGCCATGAAAAATTCTGTTAGTCCAGTAAGGGCCTGGCCACCTGCTGGGGTCTCTATGTTGTCATGATCAAATGCCCTAATAGTGGGCATGTACTGTTATGATCAATAGGTGCCACTTGGAGAGGCCAGGAATGTTGGGCATCCAGCAACATTTTAGTGGGCAGTTTTCTACACATTAAAGATCTGCCATGGGACCTTCACGCATTACCTCAACTTAGCTCCTCAGTTTTACATATAAACACAAAGTATTTTTTAACATGGTTTTAATGTTACACTGAATTCTCTAGGAAGGGAACATGAATGTAAATCATAGGAAGATTGTACTTTGGTTCAGATGTTCAAGAAAATGTGTTTGTTAGTTCTGAAAACCACATCACCAACAGTGATGCTAAAACTCTTGACAATTTGCATTTATAGTAGTCTATATTCTGGGTGATTCTACATATCGGTAAAAGTTTCCAATTACTTCTTTATGCCTTCCAATATGGTCATACCCAAACATTTACATGAGTTACCACACTTTATAATTTCTCCCATATATACTCTTAGGGCACCTGTACTATATGTGCTTGTATATGTGTGTGTATGTATGCATGTATGAATGTTATGTGTGTGCACATATACCTACACACAATACATTGCTTTTTAAAAAATAATGTATATAGCTAAGTTATATTATCTTTGACTTTAAGTTCAAGACAGTATAAAGAACATTACAAAATATTTATTATTAAAAGAGGGAGATGAATCTGCTGGGGCAGAGAACCTCTGGCTTAAAGTCTCCTGTTCATTGTGAACCTGTGTTGAAACTCCCAGTGCTTCTCACTTTTTGAGGCATACATGCCATCTCTTTGATCTGGCTGGTCAACATGGACTAGTTCACAGGATTCCTTTTTTGCAAGATTGTATTAACAATGCCTCCCAGCTTCTGACACCTTTCTTCTTCTCCACTGCTAATTCAATAGTGTCTGAAATTACACCTGTAAACATTCTCAGGGCCCTGGTTTGTACCTCCGTCCAACCAGGAAACCAAACCACATTTAGAGCAGCATTTCCTTCAGTTCTCCTATCCAATAGGACAGTGGCTTCCTGTTAAGGTTTTGCTTTGTTCTAAATGTAAAATTAAGCCATTGACTTTAATTAAATATGAAGGCATTAAAATGAATATATATATCTGGGAGTGTGTGTGTGTGTGTCCGTCCGTCCCAGACCAAGGAAACGATACTGACACAGAGGGTGACATAACAGATGAGCAAGAGAAGTGAGCTGGCTGTGGGTGAAACAGTGAGGTTCCCCAGAGTTGGGGTTTGGGAGGGGTTTTTTCCCACTGGCAATGGCAGTTCTCTCCTTCCATCGTTGCCCTGATAGGCAGGGGGCTTTGGTAAGAAAAACAGGGAAACTTTGTTATATCAGCAGACAGATAGGTGGTTAATATTATAAGGTAACGGTACCCCACCACCCACATCTTAGGACTTTTCTCTCTTTCTGGGACAAAAAACAAAGTGGGGCTGAGGTAACAGCACCGACTCCCTATAGTATTGATTTGATTTCCTAGTGGGAGGCACTGATTTCACTGACATTTACATTCTTCCTATCTCTTTACTAACTTCTTGGACATTTCACTCTGTGGTCTTTTAACTTTGATTTATTCTACATATCATGAAATCAATTTCTCCAAGAACCTAAATGCCAAGACCAGAACAAGCTGGGCAGGGGTCTTCTTGGAGCCATGAAGAACTTCCTGGCAGATGAAGCCAAATGGAAAATTCTTCAAAACTTTTGTGATTACCCAACTCATCAGTAAATGGCAGCATGAGATGAAGTTGCCCATGTGTGACCACCCTCAGGACAGCTGCCCTTTGCCTCTAGCCCACGGCTCAGCTATTCCCAGACACCTGCTCCTGTGATTGGGTTTGAGAGATGACCAGAACAAGAAGGGCAAAGGCTGAAGGGCTTTCAAATTTTTGCTGTCTCATAACTTTAAAAAATTCCACCTCAGATACTTGAGAGAATTTGACTTGCCCCTTCAATCAGTACAATGACTTAAAGGGCTTTATCTACACTATGTCTCAGCAAACACAAGTCTCACACTTCTCGTGAGTTTTTAGACAAGGACATTCTAGTAGCAAAAACACAACTCTGGCCAAGGAGGCAGGCACACACACAAAATAGCTGAGAGGAGGCCACTAGGTCCTTTATTCTGTTTAAACCTCATCCACTGGTTAGCCCTAAAGTGGACACTAATAACCTCACTATGGAGATGAGGAAACTGAGGCTCAGAGAGAGGTTAAGCTGGAACTCAGATTCTAAATCTTCATAAACCACTCTGGTCACTATCTATTTGGACACCACTTAACTTGAAGGATTTAACAAAAAGTTATATGGTTACCTGACAACCATTCTTTTTTTTCTGTTACTTAGGTAAGGTTTGATATCATTCATTTTTAAGAAGTAAGTTCTTTCAAACTTAAAATTAATGTGGCTATATGGACATACAATGGGGAAATGACAGTCTCTTCAACAGATGGTGCTGACAAAACTGGACAGCTACATGTAAGAGAATGAAACTGGATCACTGTCTAAGCCCATACACAAAAGTAAACTCCAAATGGATCAAAGACCTGAATGTAAGTCATGAAACCATAAAACTCTTAGAAAAAAACATACGCAAAAATCTCATGGACATAAACATGAGTGACTTCTTCATGAACGTATCGCCCCGGGCAAGGGAAACAAAGGCAAAAATGAACAAGTGGGACTATATCAAGCTAAAAAGCTTCTGTACAGCAAAGGATACCATCAACAGAACAAAAAAGTATCCTACAGTATGGGAGAACATATTCATAAATGACAGAGCCGATAAAGGATTGACATCCAAAATATATAAAGAGCTCACATGCCTCAACAAACAAAAAACAAATAATCCAATTAAAAAATGGGCAGAGGAGCTGAACAGACAGTTCTCTAAAGAAGAAATCCAATGGCCAACAGGCACATGAAAAGATGCTCCACATCGCTAATCATCAGAGAAATGCAAATTAAAACCACAATGAGATATCACCTCACACCACTAAGGATCACCATCATCAAAAAGACAAACAACAACAAATGTTGGCAAGGTTGTGGAGAAAGGGGAACCCTCCTACACTGCTGGTGGGAATGTAAATTAGTTCAACCATTGTGGAAAGCAGTATGGAGGTTCCTCAAAAAGCTCAAAATAGAAATACCATTTGACCCAGGAATTCCACTTCTAGGAATTTACCCTAAGAATGCAGCAGCCCAGTTTGAAAAAGACAGATGCACCCCTATGTTTATCGCAGCACTATTTACAATAGCCAAGAAATGGAAGCAACCTAAGTGTCCATCAGTAGATGAATGGATAAAGAAGATGTGGTACATGTACACAATGGAATATTACTCAGCCATAAGAAAAAAACAGATCCTACCATTCACAACAACATGGATGGAGGTAGAGGGTATTATGCTCAGTGAAATAAGCCAGGTGGAGAAAGACAAGTACCAAATGATTTCACTCATATGTGGAGTATAAGAACAAAGGAAAAGTGAAGGAACAAAACAGCAGCAGAATCACAGAACCCAAGAATGGACTAACAGTTACCAAAGGGAAAGGGACTGGGGAGGATGGGTGGGAAGGGAGGGATAAGAGCGGAGAAAAAGAAACAGGGCATTACGATTAGCATGTACAGTGTGTGGGGGGCACGGAGAGGGCTGTGCAACACAGAGAAGACAAGTAGAGATTTTACAGCATCTTACTATGCAGATGGACAGTGACTGTGAAGGGGTATGTGGGGGGGACTTGGTGAAGGGGGGAACCTAGTAAACATAATGTTCTTCATGTAATTGTAGATTAATGATACCAAAATAAAAAAAAATTAATGTGGCTATGTTCTAAGATGTAGAAAATTTTGGAAACCTTGACTGCCCTTCCCAACATGTGTGGCTCAAACCTCAAATAGTTTTTTGAGGAAAATATTTAGGTGAGCTAGCCCTTCTATTCAAGGATCTGATGCCATGAGTCTTATCAACCTTCATCAGAGGATATTAATTCCATTAATCAACTATTAAGGCATATGGCACATGTATCTGACCAGACATAGCCTACTTGCTCTTCACAGCACTTATCAAAATCTAATTTGAGAGAATATTTACAGTGACTGTTCAGTCCATCCACACTAAATTCTTTTTAGTGCCAGCCTAAGTGGCACCTCTTGCCTCCTGCCTGGCAAACTTGGTGGCTGCCTTCATGGACCACACCACCTATCTGATAGACTTCTT